GTGTGTGTGTGTGTGTGTGTGTGTGTGTGTGTGTGTGTGTGTGTGTGATGGTAGGTAGAAGTGTGCACATTCTATGATGTCCACACAGAGGTCAGAAGACAGCTTTCAGAAGTGGGTTTTCTCCTTCTACGATAGGTTCTAAGGGATTTGACTCAGGTCATCAAGATTGCAGGGTAAGCACTTCGCCTGCGGAGCCATCCTGTTAGTCTAGTACCTTCACTTTACAGGTGAAAACCAACCCTGGAAAGATTGGTGACCGATTCAACAAAACCCTGCTGGTTATAGAGATATTTCAGACATTTACAATTGAAATCAGAAAGCTTTTCACTGGAATGGGTAGACCCTCTCGTAGCATGGTTTTATATTTTTCATTTACCTTTAAATGAATCTCTGTGTTGGTGCCAATCTAAAATGGTACCATAGACAGGTCAGGAGTGCTGGAGGATAGAAAGGTAGCTGAACAGAACATGGCAAACATCAGCTTGCTGCTGTGTTTCCATCTTTAGAGGGAGCACTGCTGTTTGTAGAACTTTCGTTATTTCCAGATGTACTCATGTTGATTTTTCATTTGTTTATTGTTCTTGTTAATGAAAAGACAGACATTCCTAATGTTCTTTTTTTAAGTTATATTTATTTTTATTGCATGTGTTTAGGTGTTTTGCCTGGGTGTATGTCTGTGCATTATAGATTCCCTGGAACTGGAGTCACAAATGGTTATTAACCAACTGCCACGTGGGTACTGGCAATTGAACCAGTGTCCTCTGGAGGAGCAGCCAGTATGTTTAACCACTGAGCCATCTCTCCAGCCCTGTTAATTAATAGAGTCTTGACAAACTATGCTCACTTTCTGATAAGGTTGCTCATTCAACAGAGTAGGGACTCCAAATAAGGCAATAATTTCTCCTTGTGGCAGTATCTGTGTTATTTTATGGTTACTGTTTTTCTATCTGGATAATAATAGCTACCCTGTGACCTTTGTCTTTCTTTTTGCAGGTGGTTTACAAATCCAACAACGGTCAATGCCTTTTACAGTGCATCCACCAACCAGATACGTGAGTACCAGATTCATGATGGGGATTGCATTTATCGTGTAGTTTGCTTTTAATAGGATGGCCATCTTCACAATATTAATTTTTCCAATATTTCAACATCTTTCTATCTCCTATCATTTTCTTCAATTTCTTCTGTTTTCAATGTAAAGGACTTTCACTTCCCTTTTTTTATTAGTACATAAGAAAAATTTTACTTCACCATTGGCTTTTAAACTATAATAAGCAGAATTTGCATCACCACTGGCTTTTAAACTATATTAAGCAGAACCACAATGACGTTTTCCAGTAAAAGCAATACATTTTTTCCTTTCATAACCATATTGATGATCTTGTCCACCCTGTTCTAGATTTGATGGGAAAAATGGTGGCTAACTGGGGGCAATTTTTATTCTGGAAGCTTGACTATGTTCTAATTAACCCTAGGATGTAATGTTTTTAGGATGTTTATATCTGTATATGTAATTATATTTATTGCCCTGGTTAGCTTTAAGGGTCAGATTACAGTTTAGAGTTATCTAAGAGGATAGCCTTTATTGATTTATATATGAGAGAAATTGGTTTCAGCAGAACTTTCAATTGCACACACACATCTGAGAGAGAGAGAGAGAGAGAGAGAGAGAGAGAGAGAGAGAGAGAGACAGAGGGAGAGAGAGCAGACCAGCCTACTGTGGGGCAGTATCATTCCTAGGCAGATAGTAATGAACCAGCCTTGAAGTCAGCTTGCAAGCGGAATCTTCCATGTTTCCTCCTATACTTCTTTACCTGTGAAGTGAGTTCTTCTACCAGAGGCAATCTTGTGTAGAATGGCCAGCAGACCTACCTTCAAGTCCCTGCCTGCCTTCCCTCAATGATGGACCATGGTCAGGAACTCTAAACCAAACATGACCCTCTACCACAAAGTTGCCTTTGGTAAAGGGTATTTTCTCACAGGGTCAAAACTAAAGCCAGAGCAAATGCTATGGTTAACTTTTTAAATGGTCGAGGTTCCATAAGGTAAGAATTAAAAATCTGACAGAATCCAGCACTGGCATGAAAGATCCTGCTATGGACTGAAACATAAATTAAGCTACTCATATTGCAAGGCAAGTTGACAAAGTGTAGGAAAGCCAGAGAGGTGACTGCATATCAATGAAAATCATCTGCATTCCTGACCTATGCCAGGATTTTGATTCGTAGTATCATCTTCGGACTGTCAACAAAAACACCATAGGGGAGCCTGTTATAAGTGCAACTTCTCAGGCTTTAGCTTATACACAAACTTTAGATGTGAGGCTCAGAAATTTGTTATAATAAAACTTCAAATTGTTTCCCCTGAATGCTAATGTTTGAGGAATCTTCCACACAGAACACAAAACAAGGCAAAACGAAGCCCATGTGCGAATGCATGTGGCAGGGTTATTGAGAATAGAAGGAAAGGGAAATAGCTTCTGTGCCCCTGTTCATGGAAATGAACTAAGGTGGCACATTCATACAGAGTAATAGCATAAAAAAGTGAAAGTTACCTCACTCAGGATGATCTTTTCTAGTTCCCACCATTTACCTGCTAATTTCATGCTTTCCTTGTTTTTAATAGCTGAGTAGTATTCCACTGTGTAAATGTAGCACAGTTTCTGTATCCATTCCTCCTCTGAGGGACATCTGAGTCATTTCCAGGTTCTGGCTATTACGGATAACGTTGCTACAAACATGGTTGAGCATATTTCCTTGTTATGTACGTGAGCATATTTTGGATATATGTGTAGGAGTGGTACAGCTGGATCTTTTTTAAATTAAGTTTTTATTCCTTTATATGAATTACAGTTTATTTACTTTGTATCCCAGCTATAGCCCCATCCTTCTTTCCATCCCAATCCCACCCTCCCTCTCCCATCTCCTCCTATGCCCCTCTCCAAGTCCACGGATAAGGGAGGTCCTCTTCCCCTTCCATATGACTGTAGATTATCAGGTCTCATCAGGAATAGCTGCATTGTCCTCTGTGGCCTGGCAAGGCTGCTTCCCCCTCAGGGGGAGGTGATCAAAGAACCAGCCACTGAGTTCATGTCAGAGAAAAGTCCTGTTCCCCTGACTAGGGAACTCATTTGGATACTGAGCTGCCATGGGCTACATCTGAGCAGGGGTTCTAGGTTATATCTAAGAATGGTCCTTGGTTGGAGTATCAGTCTCAGAAATGACCCCTGTTCTCAGATATTTTGGTTCTGTTGCTCTCCTTGTGGAGCTCCTGTCCTCTCCAGGTCTTACTATCTCCCCTTTCTTTCCAAAGATGCCCTGCACTCTGCCCAAAGTTTGTTTATGATTTTCAGCATCTGCTTTGATATACTGCTGGGAAGAGTCTTTCAGAGGCCCTCTGTGGTAGGAGCCTGTCCTGTTTCCTGTTTTCTCCTTCTTCCAATGTCCTTCCCTTTTGTATTTCTGAGTGAGGATAGTTCATTTTACCCTGGGTCCTCCTTTTTGCTTAGCTTCTTTAGGTGGACAGATTTTAGTATGTTTATCATGTATTATATATCTAATATCCACTTATAAGTGAGTATATACCATGTGTGTCTTTCTACTTCTGGGATACCTCAGTCAGGATGATCTTCTTTAGATCCCACCATTTCCCTGCAAATTTCATGATTTTCTTGTTTTTAATTGCTGAGTAGTATTCTATTATGTACCACAATTTCGGTATCCAGTCCTCCATTGAGGTACATCTGGGTTGTTTTCAGGTTCTGGCTATTACGAATAAAGCTGCTGCAAATATGGTTGAGCTAATGTCCTTATTGTGTACTTGAGCATATTTTGGATATATGCGTAGGAGTGGTATAGCTGGATCTTGAGGAAGCACTAATCCTAACTATCTGAGAAAGCGCCAGATAGATTTCCAGAGTGGTTGTACAAGTTTACATTCCCACCAGCAGTGGAGGAGGGTTCCCCTTTCTCCACAAACTCTCCAGCATGCATCATTCCTTGAATTTTTGATCTAGTGAGAGTGACGTAACCCAGCAGCAGAAAGACACACATGGTATATACTCACTTATAAGTGGATATTAGCCATATGATATAGGATAAACATACTAAAATCCATAGTCCTAAAGAAGCTAAACAACAAGGAGGACCTCAGAAAGGCCTTAATCCTCATTCAGAAGGGCAAACAGGATAGACATCGAAAGTAGGAGAAGACAAGGAACAGGACAGGAGCCTTCCACAGAGGCCCTCGGAAAGACTACCCACCAGGGTATTGAAGGAGATACTGGGACTCATAGTTAAACTTTGGGCAGAGTGCTGGAATCCTTATGGAAGAAGAGGGAGATAGAAAGACCAGGAGGGGACAGGGACTCCATAAGGAGAACAACAGAGCCAAAATACCTGGGCCCGGGGCAGAGGGGGCTGCAGAGACTGATACTCCAACGAAGGACCATGAATGGGGAGGACCTAGAACCCCTGTTCAGAGGAAGCCCATAGGCTGCTCAGTTTCTAAGTGGGTTCCCTAGTAAGGGAAACAGGGGTGCTTTCTGACATGAACTCAGTGGCCAGCTCTTTGGTCACCTCTGCATTGAGGGTACAGCCTTGCCAGACCAAAGAGGAAAAGATGCAGACAGCCTTGATGAGACCTGATAAGCTAGGATCATATAGAAGGGGAGGAGGTCCTCCCCTATCAGGGGACTAGATAAAGGGCATAGGGGGAGAAGAGGGAGGGTGGGTGGGACCAGAAAGAGGTGAGGGAGGGGTTACAGTGGAGATATAAAGTGAATATATTGTAATAATTAAAAATTTAAAAAATTTAAAATAAGTGAAAGTTAGATGGTCTATTACGACACTTATTAACATAGATTTCACTAATGATTAGGTTAGGTTGTACAGCCAATCAGCAACTTAAGAAAATAAATGGAATATGATCCCTCTTATTAAAGTTGAAAAACATGCAAATAATTCTTTATGTTGTTTACAGTCATATCCACTTGTAGTAAAAGACATTCATGAGAAGGAAATATATCATATTTAGGTTTGTGGTGCTACCTCTTGTGGAGAGAGCTTACTGCTCCATATCAAACTTTTTAATTGATTAATTAATTTATTTTTGGCTTTCTGGGGTTTGGTGGCTACTGATCCCCAGGAACACGGGAGCAGAAACCATGAACTGGAGATTCAGCGCCTGGAAGAAAATGATGACTTTCAGGACCAACTTCTGGGAGGCAAATCAATTTTATTTGGGATGAATGAGGATTATATAGAAGTTTGGGGGAGGAGGTAGGGACATCCAGGGTGGGTATAGATCTTTGGCTGGAGGACTGAGGTGCTGAGATACCTCATTTACACAGAGAGGGATTCCAGGATTCTCAGGTGTTTGCTGAACCTGTTCTTTTTTAAAAAAATAATAATAAATTAAATTAATATATATTATAATTTATTCACTTTGTATTCCTGCTGTACCCCCTCTCTTGTCTCCTCCAAGTCCCACCCTTCCTCTCTCTTCTCCCCCCTATGCCATTTCCCTAGAACCCTGAGAGGAGAGGACCAGCTCCCCTTCTATATGACACTAGCTTATGGGATCTCATCAAGACCGACTGCATCATCTTCTTCTGTGGCCTGACAAGGCTGCACCCCCCAGAGGGAGGTGACCAAAGAGCCAGCCACTGAGTTCATGTCAGAGACAGCTGCTGTACCTCTTACTAGGAAACTCACTTGGAAACTGAGCAGCCTATGGGCTTCCTTTGAACAGGGGTTCTAGATCCTCTCCACACATGGTTCTTGGTTGGAGTATTGATCTTTGCAGGCCCCTCTGGGCCCAGATATTTTGGCTGTTGTTCTCCTTGTGGAATTCCCTGTCACCTCCAGGTCTTTCTACCTCTCTCTTCATCCATAAGGATTCCAGCACTCTGCCCAAAGTTTGGGTATCGGTCTCGGTATCTCATTCACTTCCCTGGTGGGTAAAGTTTTTCAGAGATCCTCTGTGGAAGGCTCCTCTCTTGTTCCTTCTCTTCTCCTATTTTCTATGTCTATCCTGTTTGCCCTTCTGAATG